TTCTATTCTATTCTATTCTATTCTATTCTATTCTATTCTATTCTATTCTATTCTGGTTCTATTTCTATTCTATTCCTATTTCGATTCCATTCTTCACCAAGGGTTGCTTTGGATAATGAGATAAGACAGCATTTAAGTTATAACTAAAATAAATAAACACATAAATAACTTTTTAGAAAGAGTGCTCCAGAACTCATCTGAGGGTCAGGCCACAGGTGCAGGATGAAGCAAGACGATAAAAAATAGTGTTGTAGCATTAAGAACAATCCCTCCCATTTCACCCAGTGTTCCTCTGTGCCTGACATGTCACTTGTACTATTTCTGAATGGAATGCAGCAATGTATGTGTAACTGAACAACCCATTTTGTTTTATGGTTTACTGTGAATGACCATGTGAAAGCCAACTGAATGGTTTTGGGCCAGTCACTCTCTCTCAGCCCAACTCACCTCACAGGGTTGTTGCGGGAAATAGGAGTAAGGATGAGTATTATCAAGTATTTCCATCTTGATATACTTATAAAATAATAAAGATGGGATAAAAAAATATTTAAAAATAGCCCCAAGATTCAGTGGTCCACATCTGATATCAGGAAGCAATGCCTCTTGTGCAAATTATTAGTGGTAAAATTATTTCTTGGTGTTAGTATTAGGCTGATGACAAAGGAGTAATTTTAGTGAAAACTCAAACTGTTCCTCTTCCTTTCTTAGTCACTTTGACACATAAACATGTAGTTTAAGTGTAGATTATCAAACAGACTTGGCTGAATTCACAAAATCCATTAAGTTGCAGATCATAGTATAGAGCACATGCTAGGATTTACATGTCTTGTTTAGGCAAAAGCAATTATGACAATATAACATGTGAATATAGCAATATTAATGTAGAATGCAGAATGTATACCCCTTATTTCACTTGAATTGAACATGGCAAATAAGGCACTATGCATTTCTATGAATATTCACAACATTCTTAAAAGTTTTTTTAAAAAACAGAAGCAGGCCAAATAAATAAAAGCACGTTCCTTTTGCTTCAATAAAGTTCATTTTTAAATTTTCACTTCATGCACTGTGAAAAATCACACACACAAAATAAACTGCACAGTAACATTTATATAAGACACTGCTGGTAAATGTTATGCACATTAAAATATAAAGTTAGAAGATGATAAATGGAATGTACATTTCTATATACATTGCAGGAAAATACATTTGATATAACATTAGTAATGAAGATAAATCTGGCCAGAGGGATTACACCAAATACATAGCAGGCTGAAGGGCCCATATATACACATTAAATTTCAGGTTCCGCAGTCTTTTTAAAATGAAACCATGACCTATGTCTGAAACAAATACAGGTAGTTGACTTATGACCACAAATAAGCCCAACATTCCCATTGCTAAGCAAGACAATTGTTGAGTGAGTTTTGCCTCATTTGTTCACCTTTCTTGCCACAGTTGTTAAGTGAATCTGGTTTCCCCATTGCCTGTTCTTGTCAGAAGGTTGCAAAAGATCATCATATGATCCTGGGATATTACAACTACCATAAATACATGCCAGTTACCAAGCGTCTGATTTTTGACCACGTGACAATGGGGATGCTGCAGTGGTCATAATTGTGAAAAATGATCACAAGTCCGTAAGTTTTTCAGTGCCACTGTAACTTCAAATGGTCACTAAACAATTGATTGAAAGTCAAGGACTATCTGTATAGATGCAGAAAGCACAAACTGTATGAAAGAAAAAAGTGACAGAACACTTGCAAAATAAAATATATCAGCTGAATACTTTGTACACATATTAAATTGATTTTTCCCCCAGAATGCATCCATTATAAACATAGGGGAAAAAAGCAATTGGCAAAAATATTGTTTTATTATGGCTAAGATCCTTTGGCTGGCGCTCCAAGTTAGCATCTAAAATACTATTTTTTTTAAAAAAATGTCCCCACTAACAAAATTTCAACCAATTTCTTCACTTTTTAAAATATTAAAATACAACTTTTATAGCCAAGGTTTAAGTTAAAAGTTCTGGTTTCTGAAACCCAAACCATGTCTATTTTGCATAATACTTAAGAGCTGTCCATGAATAAGATGGCAATAATACTAGCCAAACTTTTCAGTTTAGCATGAGAACATAACCTCTAGTTAACTTATTTGAAGAGAAGTAGTGGCACGTTAAGTGTTCTGAGCTCAACAGCTTCCAGTTTGAGTTTGAAACGATTGGTTTTTAGTTTAAGATAAGTGTTCCAGACAGAATGTAAATTTTCCAGTGCTGTTTTGACTATTTTGTAGTGTTCTGAACTTGAAACAGCCCCATTTTGAATCCAAGACATTTCCAAGATAGTCAGATCAGCTTGGGAAACTTTCATAAATCAGAACAACACATTTGAACTTAAGACATATTTTGAATTTGAAATATTGTTATAATATAAATTAGTAAGGAATCAAGGATTCAGAATTTGGCACTTCTCTTTCTCAAGAGAAGCAGGATGGAGTTTTCTATTTTCCATTTTATTCACACAAGAAGAACTCTTATTAATCTAGGATTAAATTAAAGATGCTGCGTAAAAATGGCCTTCAGTCTTCATACCAGTTCATTCCCCAGATGCTGTCATACCCAACTAGAATGGCTACTGTCCTGAATTATAGAAAATCCTATAAAATCGGGGACTCTAGGATTGCACAATATTTAATATGAGAATTCTAAAACCATGGATGTGGGTAATCAATTTTGTTCTTTATAATAATTTATATTTTCACCCTCTTGTGGCAAAGACTTTGGAAGGCATCTAAGAAGTTAAACCAAGCAACAATCAAATCCACTTTTCTGAATGTAGGGTGGAATTGGTACACAGCTTTAAAATCAATTGTACTATTTAAAATTTGAAATTCTGATCAAGCCAAGTATGGAAAGTTGGAAACAAAACATTCTGAAATGTACTTTAATTTCCAGATAGACCAAAATCAGGTTTAATTAGTTAACTTTGCATGCTCATTTTGCCTTTGTGTTTCTGAAATGAGAGTTGTGTACTATTAGCAGTATATTTTTGAAATCAGGGTTTTTAAATCTAAGAAAATTGAAATTTCTGGGGAAAAATTATAGAAATTCATATGCTTTGGGTAAGGGATAAGGTGAAAAGTAGAAAACCTGAGAACAAATACAAACCTTGACTTGGCTTTTCAGAATTTAAACAGCAGATGACTCAGGAAGTGTTAGGCACTTAATTTGTTAGGATAAATAGCTTACAAGGATTCTTGTAGTAATCTAAACAGTGATCATTCCTATCAGAACTTTGTAGTATTCCAGGCCAAATTATTGTTAATATTGAAAAAAACTAATAATTTATCTCTCTTCAAATATTCTTGCAAGCTACAAAAACTTTTCTTTCATCCGGTACACAATTAGGCTGCAAAAAGCTAGCTAACAGGATTATATGAATGGTATGATTTCCTTCTTTGCAACATTTGAGGGGTTTCTGAAGAATGTACAGTAGTATCAGTGCATCTGCAAACAAATTCAATGAATTCTATTCTATTCATTTCAACCACAGTACTTACTGGAAAAGGAACCGCATACAGAGAATAGAGGATGTTGTTTTAATCTTCTCTTGTCTAGACAAAATAGCAGCTATCCCTCACTTCTTCTCGTCCTGAACTAAGAGTATCAACAGAAACAGAGGTCTCTTCCTGTGAATATCAATAGCAGTCCCTCCCTCTAAACAGGGTAAAGAGAACTTAAGCATGTTTAACAGATCTTTCTGGGGAGGAAATAGAATAAAGTGAAAAGGGGGAAGAAGATCTTCCTGGAAAGAAATATGGCTATTTTGATATTATGCTTAGAAATAGAAAACTTATGCCTCATACTCTCAAAATCACAGTACAGAAGTGTGGCTGCAAACCACCATGTAAAATACTGTGACATTTTGATGTTTGGTGGTAAATAAAAGGAAACATATATTAAACTTTCAACATAATTAATGCATCTATGAAGAAAACTTTTGCCCAATTTTCAATCTGCCAAAATGATAAAAAAATCCACTTGTCTTCTGATGACATCACCTCATCCTAACCAGACCCCCTACAACGCTCAACTACAACAAAAATTATTTTAGCATAATGAGCCCCAAACCAAAAAATATATTAGCCATCTACTAATATATTATAGACTTTTGTTACAAGTCCCAATTGTTAAGACACAATTTTAAGGGCACATTTTAAAAATATGAATTTTTCAAAATTTAAAAATGTTCATTTTAAGGGAATGAACTGAGTTACTAAGATGGTTTACACGTGACCAAGGGGGTCACATATATAATTTCTCATTAGGCATGTTTCCCTTCATTGTGGTCCCCAAACTGCAGACAAAAATGTTCTTGGAGATCATGCATTGAACAGGAGGTGGGTCTAGCTGGCCCCCAAGATGGATGGAAACTAATTAAGGGGAGAAGCAACCTAGAACTAAGGAGAAATTTCCTGACAGTGGGAACAATTAATCAATGGAACAGCTTCTCTTCAGAAATTGTGGGTGCTCTAGCTTGGGAGGTTATTAAGAAAAGGTCGGACAGCCATTTGTCTGAGATTGTATAGGGTTTCCTGCTAGAGCAGGAATTTGGATTAGAAAATCTCCAAGTTCCCTTCCAACTCTGTTATTCTAAATGATGCAAGACAAATTCAAATGGGCTTGCATAGCCATTTTACCTTGTGCATTCATTCAGTACTTATTCTTGCAAAACATATGGCTGTTCAAACCAATTAGGCAACTAAAAAGATAATGAACTGGAGATCATTACTGCATTAAAAAAAACAACCTTTGGCTAATATCAAAAGCAAGTATGAACAGCACGATGAACAATTGAGCATCAAAACCATTTTAAGGCATTGTCCCCCCTGGCCAAGTGCTTTCCAAGTAAATTAACATTTCAGCTTCTCTAACCCAGTGCCAATGCTATTTTGGAATTAGATTCAAAATCCAGCATACCTGGAGGGAAAAAGGCCTGTTTTGAAGGATATGTTATGCTATGTACAGAGGCATATGTAGCATGCTTGTTAATAAAACTATCTGTTCATATTTAAACATTCTTGTTAGTAAAGACATATGGATGTGTATTAAAAATGAAGAGGTACCAATTCCTTTCAATATATCTATAAAATCAATCAGAGCTAATCTGCACCTTTTGCTAGCATTTTCATTATATCAGGCAGTTTTTATTGTATATTGCTGAAGCTGTCAATTGTTAAAAATGATTATAACACCATATGTGTGTGCTGATATATAATAAAGTTGTCCAGTTGTGTCCGACTCTAGGGCACGTTGCTCATCTCTGTTTCTTGGCCGAGAGTGCCAGCATTGTTCTGAGGATATTTCCATGGTCATATGGCCAGCATGACTATATGCCAAGGCACATGAAACACTGTTACCTTCCCACTGAAATGGTACCTATTTATCTACTCACATTTGCATACTTTCGAACTGCTAGATGGACAGGAGCTGGAACAAGTAACAGGAGCTCACCCTGTCATATGGCACTCGGGTCTCAAACCTGGGCTGTCAGCTTTCCAACTGAAAAGCTCAGCATCTTTAACTGCTGAGCCAACGTGCCCCCAATATGTACATACTACAGCACAATGACATCTTTGGAGCTACTGAATCTCCCTAAGTTCAGTCTTTAATACTGAAGCATGTCTGTTGAAGTAAAGACTGCAAAGTGTTGCAGTTTAACTGGATGGCAACCTCTCCTAGCTATATCTGCTCAGAAGCAAGTTACAATGAAATAACAATTGTTTACTTTCTAAATTTCTATTGAGGAAAGGACTCAAATGTGTGTTTTACATTTTAGCTTACCTAGTTGAAGCCATAGTTCTTCATATAGTTCTTTCTTTTGGGTCAAGCTGGCTAAGAAATTGTAGTCCACCCTATTTAGGAAAGGCTGATACTTTTATTAAAAGAACCCTCCCAAAACCCCTCAACCCTTGTAACAAAAAAATATTAAAATCCCTGAATTTGTTTTTGTTGTCATAAGTTGCTTACGCATTACTCTGAGCTGTAGTTTTGTTAACCATGGTTTAAATCAGGATTGGCTGAGTATGCTCAACAGACTGAGGCATGAGCCATGGTTTACAAACTACAGACCCTGGGTTACTATAACAAACTAAATTGAACACACCCATTATGGGTTAGTGCTAATTACAAATCACATACTCACCCTATTTTCAAGATCCAGTGTTTTACTCTAAGCATTAGCAATGTAAGACTACAACAGAGAGGGTGACCAAGAGCATGCCATAAACCCTAATTAATGGCAGTTGTCTCAAAGGAGGGTATTTTTAAGCAACCCCAAGATAAAAAAACAATTTCATTTCACAGAAGAGAACAAACCAAATCAAAACAAGGACATATCATTTTAATAGTCTATAAATAGGCCGTGTTTCTAACCAGGTTTAATCAAAATTCATTTCTAATGTCACCAGATGGTCCTAGCGTTGGATACTCTTAACATAAGCCAAAGAAATAATTGCTAAGCCTCTTCTGGCTTGTTTGATGCACATAAGAGCAACCACATAAAAATATCATGTTGGAACTTGCTTAAAGTCATTTTTGTAAGAAACCCGCAAACCAGATGGAATGAGAACATTTATGGGATTGAGTAAAAACTCTCTCAGGTTGCTTTTTCATATCGTTATCTTTGTATAGTTGCACTCCTAAAATTTAAAAGGAAATACTTTCATTTTTTTTCATAAAGTACAAGCAGGCACACTGGAAACCAATGATGCAGTTTTCATGGACTCAAGAACCAAAGATAGCAAAATGAAATCCTTTTCTTGATTAATAGAAATGCATACAGCAAAACACCGTTTTTGGTAACAGTCCACCCTGAGTCCAAGTGGGACTTTCTTCATATAAAAATACATGTTCATATATTTATGTCACTGATTTCACATTGTCTTCCTTTTGCCATGAATGTGCCTTAAGGAAGTCTAAGTCTCATTTAACAGAAGAACACAGCAAACAAAGACAAATAGGAAGAACTAAGCAGTTTTCTCAGTACCAACAACTTGATGATGTAAGAGCCATAGGAACGATGAAACCACCGTTGCGAAATTCTGCACAAAGGTGGAGACGCTATCTTTTGAACCATTCCTTTGATACAAGGGTGACAATATATGCACATGGCATTTTCTGAGAGAGCAGCAATTTGCTACTGTGGTCAAGTGGCAACTCTCCCATCAGTCTGTTTATTGATTCAGGACCACATCCATTTCAGATCATTCACTGTCTCCTTCAATAAACCAAGTCTTCTTCATGTTGCTCAATGAAGGTTACGGTGGAAAAATCAGAAACGAGCCCACATCTTCTCTCCAGGGCAGAATCCAGGTTTTCCAACTGGACCAACAAAAGCTTTTGTTGGCAAATGGTTCCCCTTTTCCGGATGGCCTCTCAGGCCATGGATGTTGGGCTGTTCATTTCTTAAATGGTGTCAGTTTGTTAAAAGTGTGCCAGAAAAGGGATGGCTTTCGCTTTGGTTCTGCGAGGGAAAACACCTGCTGCTGTGGAATACTAGTGGGCACTGTGATGTGACGCTGATGGATAGGATGCAAACTCTGGAGTAGTGGTGGCACTGAGCATCCATTATAGCTGACACCTGTAGAAGGAAAACAGTATACAGAGATTATAATTCAGGAGTTGTTCACATGACACTCTTTGCTATTCATCAGGGAACAGGAATCTGAGGCCAGGGGCAATCTCACCATTAGGCAAAATTCCAAGGACCACACAGGATGCATGGTGAATTGGAGCCAACTCCCTTTGCTGTTCACTCATTATGCCTAAACTGGCTAAGTAATTTGCTACCTAAGTGACCGTTGTATCACATTGAGGACCCAAACATAACCGGCAATAATAATAGTGTTAAGAATGGGAGTATACAACAGACAGAGAAAAAGATGTCAGAGAGCTGGTGAGGCAATGGGGCAACAGAAGAAGGGAACCTGGGAGGTCCCCTTTTCTACTCAAGCAGCAGTCTTTCTCCTACCTCAAATAGCATGTTTTTGAGACACTATTGTTGTCTCTAATTTTCCTGAAACAAAAAGAGGCTGAGATACATATCAAAGCATAGGAAAATCTAACCCCTTGGATCTATACTGCCTGGTCTATGTGCCACCTCTTTATACACTTAACACCCAAGAAAATAGCATTAGTCATCTGAAAGGAAATGTATGTTGAGTCTTTTGGTCATGGTGGGGGATGATGGTTAAATATTTACCTTTCATTTTCCCATGTCTTGACTTCCGCGCATTTTGCATTGCTTCCTTCTTTTGGTTTTCTGAGATTTCCATTCCTGCATTTGAAGGATAAATGGTACAAATTTCAATGCTGTTTCAAGAACCAGAGTGCAATCTGTTGTTAAAGCAAAGTTCAATTAAAAAGCATCACTGAGTAACAATTAAGCTAATGGATCTAATTTCAACAGAGGAGACACATGTCACTTGTGAAACACAAGTAATAACAGAGCACAGACTTTACACCCAGAAAAGCTCAGTTTCAATTCTCAACATCTTCACAAGGATGTCATAACTTCTGAGAAACAGAAACAAGCCACTGCCATTCAGTGTAGAGAATGCTGAGAAAACAGACAAATGGTTTGATTCAGAACAATGCAGATTTGTCAGTCCAGAACTGTTCCACCAAAATGACATACTGTAGATAAGTGACCATCACAAGGAATTATTCCTAACAAATCTGAATCTGATGTTTTCAGTCTTAATAGTATATAATACTATATTTAAAAGGGTTTTGTTACTTAAAATTAAATGTATATACCACCTCTGGGTAGTTTCCACTGATACCAAAACCATATCAGAAATAAACAAAATATTACATCTTGGCTTTAATAAAAATATCAGTAAGGCTATACTTATTGATGGAACAACTCTAACCACAAATCATAGCCAAATTAAAAATTCATAAAGGTTTACACAGTAATGCTACAATCTCACAATCCTTGGGCTACATCATGAATATTTTTGCTATAGCTTTGTTGATTTCAGAAGGTAGGTTACAAGACCAGTGAGAGAGACTGTGCAATGGGAAAATATTCCAAATTTCCAATTCTAGTGATTTCAGTTAGCAAAAGATAATACTTGCCCATTTCTTTGTCTTCTTGCACTCGTCTCCTCTCATTTGCACAAGCCTCCAGCCACTTTTTTTTATCACCTGGCTTTTTCCCACAAAATAGGTGAACTTCTTCCGTAGCGTTATTTATAATTTTGAAAGCATTTTTTACAGAGATATTGAAGTCTTTGTCTTTGCCATCCTCAATGTCTACCACCTCCATTTCATCCATGTCCATCCGGCCTTTGTAATACAACATGTCCCTTCTCAATAAATCTTTCTTACAGAACACAAGCTGATGGTCAAAAAGAAAGAATGTTCTTTGCTGACTCTTGCCTTGTTTGGAGATTTTCGTCAATTCTCCAGAGTGGATTAATTCAGAGCTTTTGCCTAAGATGTCTTGCCCCTACAGCATTCGTAAAAAAGAAAAAGAAAAGGAGATACTAAACTTTATCAGCACCGAGAATGACATTAGATAAATAAGTAATTATTCTTCTATTCATCTTTATTATACGGCTTAGTCTCCAATATGATAGCCACCAATCCTGAACTACTTGCAGAGGTGGTATTCAGCATGTTCTGGCCAGTTCTGGAGAACCAGTAGCGGAAATTTTGAATAGTATAGAGAACCAGCAAATACCACCTCTGACTGGCTCCGCCCCCATCTATTCTCTGCCTCCCCGGTCCCAGCTGATCAGCTGGGTCTTCTTTTGTTGCCCTGCACAGGAGAATGGAGCTGGAAAGCAGGTTAGTAGGGTGGGGAGGGAATGGGATTTTGCAGTAATCTTCCCCCAGGGGGTGGGGAGGGAATGGAGATTTTACAGTATCCTTCCCCTGCCATGCCCACCAAGCCACACCCACAGAACCGGTAGTAAAAAAAATTTGAATCCCAACACTGACTACTTGCCACACTTTTTTTGATCCCTATGTCAGCAAATACAACAAAATCTTCCCTTACCAGAATGGGGAAGACACCCCACTCCATCCCATCCCCAATTAAAAATATTAAATCTAGATATCACCCATGTTAACTACCCTGTTTCTCCAACAATATGGCCTCCCCCAATAGGAAGTCCCAGCATGTTTTATAGGCATGAAATGAAATTAAGCCCCTCCCCCAAATTAAGGCCTATATTAAAACATGCGAAATGGGGGGAATGGTGGGGGGGCTTGCCGTTAGGACTTGTTGCATACCCGGATATGGTGCTGTCTGCGTTGACCCCGATACGAAGTGCCCCACCAACACTGAGGTCAACATCCAAGCCATCGCCGCCCGCCCACCCGAAGATGCAAGGGGGGGAATTAAGTCACCCCCCGAAAAGACGGCCTAGCCATTTTTTCGGGGCTCAAAAAAAAAAAAAGACCCGGCCTTATTATATGAGAAACACGGTATCACCAATAGATTAAGAGCTACAAGACAGAAGGGTTTATTTCTCTCTCCTCCCTACCTCCATTTAAGCCAGTGCAATGGTCTGTTAGGTAATAAAAATTGGAAGATTGATTCCTGGTGAAGAACAGCCAGAGAGAGTATCTATTCCTGCCAGAGACCTTTGTGGCAATATTCCAGGGCAGTGTTCGCAAACCTTTTCGACATAGAGTACCGAAAAGGGAGCACCAGAAACCTTGAAGAGCAACTCCGCGGCACATATGAATCCGCCTGTGTAATTCTGTTTTGGAGAGGTCAGCTACCATTTTGGGCCCCGTGCACATATTGCTATAACTAAAACTAGGTTCATTAGCACAATCACAAACTCTGAAACAGAGCGAAAGAGATAGAGGCAAAGACTAAGTTTTTTCAGTAGGAAATTTTTTTCCCCTATGTAATTTAAAACAAAAGCAAAAAACAAAAGAATAAAAATACAAATTTGGAAAGAGAAAAGTAAGGAATTTAAAGAAAAAAAAGTACAAGAAGTGAAAGAGAAAAGGCACGCACTGGCCACCTGGTCTTCTGGTTTCTGGCACGTATGTGCACACAAAAACCAGCTGGCTGAAGCGCATGCGCACGCCAGAACCCAGAAGAGCAACAGGTGACAGCTGATGCCTGGAGCGACAGCTCTGTGTGTTTCTTCTGGCACGTGTGCCATAGATTCGCCATCATGGCTCTAGGGTGTTTGGTAGGAAATAAGTTTTTCTCCTGTTATTCACCTATCCGTCACTAAAACAAGGAATATTATTTTAAATATTGTTATTGCTGTTTAAGTCCCTTAAGATGAGAGCTGTGAAGTATAGGATAGACTCATAAAAGCTTACGTCTTTTAACGGGGAAAGGCGGATAAAATATAAATGTACTTTTAACTGCAGCAGCTTCTTTTCTTGTCTTCCTTTCTCTTTTCTATTTCACTCTTTGTACTTTGTTTCTTTACATTCCTTACTTTTCTCTTTCCAAATTTGTATTTTTATTCTTTTGTGTGTTTTTTAAAAAAAATAAAAATTAAATAGGGAAAAAAATTTCCTACTGAAAACAACTTAGTTTTTGCCTCTCTCTTTCCCTCTGTTATTGTGATTGTGCTAATGAAACTAGTTTTAGTTATAGCAATATATGCAGAGGCCCTAAATGGTAACTGACCTCTCCAAAACAGAATTACACAGGCTGATTCAAATGCTTACTGAATTCTTAACCTAAGAATACATAATTGTATTGGATTTTAGATTTAAACCAAATTATCTCTTCAATCTAAGGGTCCTCAGAAAGGTATCTAAAAATCCCAGGATTTTATTACACTTCTAAATAGTGCCTGATCTTTCCAGATCATGAAGTATGATTGCCAAACTCTCTTTAAAAAATGAGTATTTTTTTTAAAAAAAAGCCCTGCTAAGTTGCCAATTCCAGTTCAATGAGATTACTTGCAGCAGTTTTACAAAAACAACCACAAACCAGGAGTGCCCAATCGAGTACAAATGCCTCTCCTTTCCACAGATTATATTCTCAAAATGTTAGAGAGTGAAGAAAGAGTAACCAGTGTTCAGGAAAAGGAAAAACGTATATTGACTCCAATTCACAGTGAGTCCAACTTCACCTCTTCTCAATTTCAAGTATAAAATTCAGTGATCACCCAGCTGCCACAAGAATCATGGTAAAATCTCCGAATAACTAATTAATGGAGTTAAGTCATTTCTAACATTGCTTCTTGGTTTAGAATGATTCTCCTGTCCTTAAGATTTTTTTTTTCTGAAGCCTTTTTGGGGGTAAGCAGAAACAATTTGGTGCAGCTGAGTTGTTAAGCTTTTAGGGCGTCAGCCACGATGAATCATTGAGAAAAAATAAATGTGAAATAAATTAATAAATTATTTCAAGTAAATCATAATCACCACAATGGAAATAAACAACCACCTTTACAAAGTGGAAACAGCAGAAAGTAAGAAAACACCCTTTGAATCAGTTGGGAGAAACCCTGGGTTTTCAAGCCCAAAAAATGACTGGCAATGTCTCCTCACCTCCCAGTTGACAATGGAGATTTGCCAGCGAGCAATCTTGTCTATACTTTCCAGCCTTCGTTTGCGTTCATTGATGAGGCAAGCTACGTTCTTCATGGCTTCGTATGCTGCCTTGATATTGTTATAGTCACTGTCAAAGGAAGAAAGATACTGGTCAATCCCTGAGGAGAATGCATCTTATTCACTTCCCAGATGAATATCCTACTCTAACAAATAAATGACCCTGAGCAGTTTACACTTACCTCATTCAGTAATCAAGCTAAAAAAAGACAAAGTCAAAACAACAGCAAAAACCACAGGAACAATCAGTCTAATGAAGTGAAAAAACAATTTTCATATCCCCCAAAACACATCACACTAAGCATTCTCCTACAAGAGGGAATCATTCCATCTGCCAAATTCTAAAAGGTTGCTGAAACAGCAAGGTCTTAATAGCCTTACAAAATACCACACATATAAGGAACTATCTATAGTCTCTTTAGCATCCTCTCTCTGACACACAATTACATACATTCACACAGATATTTGTGGGCAGTGGGAGAGAGTGGCAGGAGGCTCCATTTCCACAAGTACCATGACGGGATCTTCCCACAGAGACAATGACTCTAACAGGCAATCCCTTTGTTAGGCAGAGAGAACAGGGGGCAGCTCCACTAAAAGGAAAGCTTTTCTGTTCTGCAAATCTTTTCAGAATCTGCAAGGCAGCCCTGCATTAGTCCCAAAGAACAAAGTGGGAAAAGAAAAAACCAAGACAACAAATATCTTCCACACTCCTATCTATCTGGAGTGTAGCTGCAGTCGAAGGCGATTTATAGCCAAAAAGGGTACGTAAGATAATCACCGCAACTTCCCGTCCAGATTGCATATCAACTGATTTTTTTTAAAAAAATGAACCCCACACTTAATTGTCTCATTGTCTGAGCACTTTTACAGTGGAGATTAGAGCTTGCAGTCTTGTTGAGAAAAAGGAGAGACTACTTATGGAGCAATTTTTGAAACCACCTTCAAATTTACAAAAGATTTCACCAAAAACCCCTACATTACTTCTGGCATGATTCATCTAAGATACCTCTGGCATGATAACAGTCCCGTAAAAAGGCTATATGATTTCAACAAGTGAACTTCTGCAATTAACTGGAAAGACCATAAAACCATAAAACTGAACTTCTCAACTGCTGCTAGTGGATGCTTTGAATGGTTATCTCATTTGTTTTAGAGAACTGACCCAAAGGTCAGGGGGGCCAGACCATTCAAAGGTCAGGGGGGCCAGACCATTCAACAGGGGTGTCAAAATGGTGGCCTGTGGGCTGGATGCATCAGGCACAGGCCACGCCCACCCCAGCTCTGCAAAGGCAAAAAACATTGCGATATGTCATGTGACTCAATCAAGTTTGACACCTGTGATTTACAACATCCCTAGAAAGCGCTGAAAGATTGACACATTAAATAAAAATGTAACATTCAAAATCTAGCACCGATTGTTAAACTGACAAGATTCCACCATTTTGGAATCAGATCTCATTTTTGAATCCTCTTCACAGATGATGTAAAACTATTCAAAACCACCAACAATGCTACTGTCCTTCAAAGCGACCTTGATTTTGTGTTTGAATGGTCAAACAATTGGCAACTCCAAATCTCGACCAACAAATGCTCTGTCCTACACATTGGTAAAAAAAATCAGTAAACCAAATACAAACTAGACGGATATGACCTCATTGATGATCCTCACTCAAGGACCTTGGAGTACTCATATCAAATGACCTAAATGCCAGAACTCACTGTAACAACATTGCCAAAAAGGCATTAAGAGTTGTAAATCTAATCTTATGAAGCTTCTCCTCCAGAAATATTGAATTGCTAATTAGAGCGTACAAAACTTTTGCTAGACCAATACTCGAATAAGCTCATCAGTCTGGAATCCGCACTGTATATCGGACATTAATACAATTGAGCGAGTCCAGAAGTATTTCACGAGAAGAGTACTACACTCCTCTGCTCGCAACAGAATACCCTATATCATCAGGCTTGAGATTTTGGGCTTGGACAACCTTGAACTACACTGCCTACAGTTGGACTTAAGTTTAGTTTACTTTATTTAGTTTAGTTTAGTTTACTTCATTATAATTGCACCTCATACAACGAAATCAAACACCGTCTTCAGTGCACATCATGACCATGAAAATAAACACAAACACACATCCTTTACACTCCACACATTGAACCCAAAACCCACAACACTGCACCAACACTGCACTATACAGCAGAATTCAAAAGAGCTACTGCCTTGGGATAGAAGCTGTTTCTCAATCTATTTGTCCTTGTTTTTATTATGCTGTACCATCTGCCAGATGATAATAGTTCAAGAAAAGGGTTCCCAGGATGAGATGGATCTTTGAGAATATTTTGAACTTTCTTAAGGCAGTGGGAGCTATAAAGCTCTTCCAAAGAGGGGAGAGGGCAACCAATGATCTTCTGGGCAATGACGTTAACCCTCTGGAGTGCTTTCCTATCTGCCACTGTGCAATTGGCAAACCATACAGAGGTGCAATATGTTAAAATGCTCTCTATGGTGCAGTGGTAGAGGGTCACCAGCAGTTTTTCATTCAGTAGTTGTTTTCTGAGAGGTCTCAAGTAGTATAATCTTTGCTGGGCCCTTTTGACCAGTGCTGCAATGTGAGCACCCCAGGCCAGGTCCTTTTTATGGTAACACCCAGAAACTTAAAACTGGCCACTTGCTCCACACGGTCTCCATTGATAAGCAAGGGCTGGATGTCTGATCTGTTCTTTCTATAATCCACTATAAGCTCCTTGGTCTTATTGGTGTTATTGTGTAGCGCACAAAATTATCTGCTACAATGTCCTACCAGTCAATGACTACTTCAGCTTCAACCACAACAATACAAGAGCACACAGCAGATACAAACTCAATGTAAATAGCTCCAAGCTTGATTGCAGAAAGTACGACTTCAGCAACAGAGTGGTCAATGCCTAGAATGCACTACCAGACTCTGTTGATACATCCTCTAACCTCCACTCCTTTAACCTCAAACTATCCACTATTGACCTCACCCCATTCCTAAGAGGTCTGTAAGGGGCGTGCATAAGTGCACCATCGTGCCTACCGTACCTGTCCTATTGTCCCCATTTATTTGTGCCTATTTCCTGTATTCTAACTCATGTTTATACTTATACCTATTATCTTGTAAGTGACTGACAAATAAAAATAAAATAAAAATACATAAATAAAGATTTCATGAGCTTATATGGGAACACTGAAGTCTTGTGAGTTCTTGCATGACTCCTAGAAAAGAGTACTGAAATCTCACTAGCAATTTAAAAACAAACTGATGGCAGGACATGGTACAATGTTATGCAAGAAGACTCAGTGACTGAAAAGGTTATAGATCTCTGTAGCTCTGATAATTCCCTAGGCTCTTAAAACAGATTGTTCCAATTAAAATAATCACAGAGCTACTACTAGGGTATACCGAGGACTGACCTTGTCCCTGAACTACAACTCTCTCCTTGCATAGTTACCTATTTTTATTTTCATTCTAATGGTGAGGTAGAATGTGTAGATTGTGGAGAGGTACTAAGTGGCCCAAAGAATCTAGGAAGAAGTTAGTTTGTATTAGATTGCATTTCCTGTTTTCCTCAGGCTGCAATGTCCTTGTAGGAGGTGGGTGATTTATACTGTTGCAAGAGTAAAAGATTACAAGAGGGACGCACAGGCATGTAGTTTGAAAGTCATGGGTGTGTGATGGGAACTGTCATCCAGCCTATCTTGAGAGCTCTAGGGTGAAAAGCCAGATATCAAGAAAGTTCCTCTTTATTTGATTACTCAGTCCATGCACTTTCAGTCCATTCAGAATAGCAGAACTTGTAACAGACATGTTAAGTAATCAAAAAGGATTAAAGCTTTGAATCATAATGTATTACCCAACAGATCATTTTATCTCACACTAGTAATTTCCATTCAGTTTTCAGAATTAGTTCAGTGTGGTGTAGAGAACTGACTGGTTCATCTTCTAAATCACTTTTTCCTACCTTAGTAACTAGTCCCAGCCTTCCACCCCATTGACTGTGCTGGCTTGGAGCTACAACAAGTTGTATTTCCAAAATGATATTCAGAAGGGCCTCAGCTTCTCAACCCATCACAAAAATTGATAGTGGTGGCTACAAATTCTGGGAGTTGTAAACCCAGAATATCTGGAAAGTGTAAGGCTAGGATGGTGCAAGTCTAGCTCAACTATGTTTTTAGAGTTTGATGATCCCCTTTCCACAATTAAATAAAATTGCTTAAAACCATACAGGATCATCACCCTTGTCACATTGTACAAAAAAAGCTAACATCGCAATAGGTCTCTTGCAAAAGGATTGAAATCTAACAGGATTTTGCCATTCTTGTCCAAAAACTTTATGAGATCCAACCATTTCCACTTTAAAATTTAATTCTATGGATAGTGTCTAGGGTATTATGGACTGCATGTGCTGCATTCCAGGCCAATTTAACTGAATGTTCTCAGCTAAAATACATAATTACAATTTCAGCACAATGTCAGCTTTAAAATTCAGCTGTCACATTTCATGGAAGGTGGGGTGGAGGAGTTGAAAAGTTCAAGGTTATTCTGTGTGTCGCATTAAGAAATTCCAGTTGCAGTTAATTGGTTCTCATGATTTATGAAGTGTAGAAGTGGGAGGAGAGAAGGGAGGAGAGAAGGTGGATTCTGTGTAACCCACAAAAATCATTTCACTTTGGGAAATTGCCTTTGACATGCCAGATCTGTTTCTAAATAAATCAATTGGAGAGAAAATGTCTCAGAGTGATTGATATAATGGATACTTTATGGATGCCTTACACACAATTTAACAATTTTACCTATTTCTTAAATGATTTACAAGTTTCTTTTCACTATCACTAAGAATTGTATATGAAGAAGACGTACGAATTTGAGGCTGTGCTTCTGGAAAAATTGGAAGGTAATGGTGCAGTTGAAGGTCTCCCTTTTTGTGTATGTGTGATGCAAATGAAAAATAGGAGGAATGTTTATTGCACAAACCATGGCTACTTTCATAAGTATTTGATCATATCCGGCAAGCATTCTTGGTGAGTGGATAGAAGTTAACCTGAATGTGGAATATTCCCCCAGAAAAAAACCTACCAATCGGCCTTACCTATGATCCTGAGTGGTGTACTTTAATAATTCAGCAAGCTGCAGGGGATATTTACAGATTTTCTGAACAGGAGTGAGGAGGAAACCATCAATAGCAATGTCAATCATTTGCTGAAGGAGGCGGCAAGCTTCAAAAAAATGGCGGTACTTGCTCTGTTTCATCAGGTTGGAGAGCTCAAGGCAGGCTCCAGGGTGATTGTTACAATACTCAGAATAGATTGCAAATCCTTCTTGCTAAAAGCAAAAGCAAAAAATACAAAAACAACAATTTTTAAATATCCCGCAGTCAAAAGGAGACAACTGAAAAGCAGGGATAAGCTGCAAGCTGTAGAAATTGCTTTCGCAATTCCGCAGCTGTTTTCAAAGTGAAGAAAGAGAGAGGACAGGGATGTAAGACACCTGGATTCCCTGCGAAGGCAGAGACAATATGATTGTTTCTCAGAGAGCTGACAAAAAGATGAATCATTGAACTTGGCAGCCAGTCATGCATGCAGGACCCAGAATGAATGAATCTGCAGCAAAAGGCCCCTTTCTGCCACCCCTCTCCCCCCCGCCATCATCTCCAGCCTCTCTGACTAAAACTACTGAAAATCTGTGGCACAATTCTCTAACATTTAGGGATGGGAAATACTAAAAATTGTTATAACTCCTAAAATATACTTACTATATAAATCCCCACTCTTTGCATAATCAGCCTGCTCCTCATTCTGACCTTTGCCTCTTCAGAAAACATATCTGAAAAGTTGACTGTAACCTTTATTGAATTATGCTGACATTAATTCTGCCCTGTTATCTCACTGCATATTCCCCAGTTCACCGAACTCTCTTTCTCTCACACTGTACTACTTAGTCAAATGAGGATATTTAACCAACTTACATGCTGAAGAAAGCAGGACCCTATTTCACTTAAGTGGGGCTCTTCTTTGTTGTACAGCTTCTCTAGATCTTTCAAAAATTTTCTTTGGAATTTGTAAATATCTTCAATATTTCCAAATATGGTGCTTAGCTGGGCCGGAGTAAACATTCCTGTATGTTTGCGACATTGCCGAATGTATCCCTAAGAAATCCAACCAAAAGGTCTTAATATTGATCATGGTGAGTAAAAATTGAAGATAAGCATTCTATCACTTTACACTAAAAGAAGTGCAATCATAACATTTCCTGTCTACTGCAATACCTCTGTAGAATTCATAAGGAGTAACTATTTTACAAAACTCAAAATACATGGACTGAATTCTACAGCATTACAGAATTAATTTACTTTAAGTAAGTAACAATTGTTTTAGTTCAGCATCTGGACAACACATTTCAATTTGCTCCTATACAACTATATTATATTTCTATGGCAAGAAAACCAAGTGCAATACTAGAGCAAGCTCACAACTTGGTTTTTTGCTCAAAGAAACGCAACGCTCTGTGAGTAGCAGCAAGTGCCTTCCTGTTATCTTTTTAAAACAAGGTTAAGGAAACATTTGTAAAAAGTCAGTGTCTGTTTCACTTGGAAAAGTGATCGGAAGAGCAGTTGATAGACACAGCTTTAGTGAAGACAAAGCAAAAATATTAAATATAAGTCGTGATTACCAGCAACCTTTATTCTGTAAAATTGATTTTTTTCAAATTTTATAATAAATATTTGTTATTATGGCATTGACTTATTAGTTCCTTTCTTCTCTTTGCTCATGTTGCCTTTGCCTGTCACTTTCTCCTGTTTTTCTCTGTTTTCTCCATACTGCTGCCTCATGTTCACTGACTCCTATGTACAGGCCTGCTGGAAATGACTTTCTCTACAGTAATGACCTGGTGTTCTTCCTGGACTGTGTGGATCTAATAACCTTGCTGGGACTTTTCTTGCATCATTATCACTCCCATCCAAGCCAGGAAAGACCCTGAGCCTTGTGGTTTCTATTGACAGAATTTCTGCATAAACTCAACCAGGTGACTCACCTTTACACTTGATACCTTCCTGTCTAATGTCCATCAATAGACCAGGAACTAAATAAATACATTTCTGTCACTTGGGCTATCACAATTTTTCAAACACTAATTTGATATGTAACAGGAAAAGACAGGGGATGGTTGCCTTCTCAGTGGTCTGGGTGGAGGGAGCAAGAAAAGGATAGAAGTACAATATGGCTTGTAGCCCATACTTGCACTGGGGCAACGTGGACGTGTGAATTAACCTAAACCACATCAGAGGAAAAGGAACAGCCCAAAGAGGTTTTTGTGATGGTATTTTTTATTAGGGACGACATCACTGTTTGGGAGGGTTCATAGACTCTTCGAGACAAAAGTTGGATTCTTCCCTTCTCCATTGTTACATTACTATTTTATATTTTACCTCACAGATGTCTTTCAGATGTTTGATATAAATCCTCTCTGTGTTCATTATTTCCTGAATTACATTGGTTCTCATCTGATCTTTGTTTTCTGCTATTTTTTGGCGATGCTTTTCAGGATTTGGTTCTTCATCTTGGAGGCCACTACAGTAGTCTGCAGGTTCTTCTTGATTGACTCGTAGCTGGAATGAGAAGAACGGAGATCAAACAATTGAGTTCAAAAATTATACTTATATCCAACACCATTCCAGAAATATAATGTCAGTGATAATAGGGCAATGTATTTGAAATTATTTCAGTATCTTGCCTACGTATACCTAGGATTATCTCCCACATCCATTACCACATTTCTACAATCTTTATCAAAGTTTCCCTACAAATAACCATGTCAAATAACATGATGAACACTATACAGAAGCCTGATGATGACAGATGAGATTCTGCTGAAACGTTGCTACAACTTTAAAAGAACAACTACAATGACTTGGGAAAATACCCGAACAAAGCTGAATGCCATACATGTAAGTACTTTCTTGGAGTAATTTTGGAGGGTTTTCATGGCTATGCTCCCTGTGCTCTGAAGTCACAGGTTGTCCACCTGTTGTTTTAGATATTACCAGCTAAAAATCAGTATGGAGAGGTTGCATTTTAACTAGAAAGATGCAACAAGTGATCTCAAGAATATTTTCAATGAACAGCAACTTACTGTCAACAGTGGAGCCTCTTAACCTTTATATTGCCTATTTAGCCTTTACAATGTGCTTTTTGAAAGTATTACTTATTAATGATTTTCTCCTGCAAGCAGAAGGAAAATAAATGATATTCTTAAGAATCAGCAATTTGGGAAGATTAAATGCTTGCACACAAGGGAAACAATATTTCGGAATGAAAAGAGAATGCTGACTTTGGTCTCTGCCTATGCTGATGATACCCAAGTAATACGTCTCCTCCCCTGGCTAAGTGATGCTATCCTGGTGCTGGACCAGTGCTGGAAGCTGTAATTGATCCAGAATGCAGCAATGATGTCCCCTATATTACAGCACTGCTGTGTGAGCTGCAGTGGCTTCTGGTTTCTGTGTGAGCTGCAGTGGCTTCAACCAATGGAACAGAAGTTGCCCGCGGAAGTTGTGGGAGCGCCATCACTTGAGACCTTCAAGAAGAGATTGGGCCGCCATTTGTCAGAAATGGTGTAGGGTCTCCCGCTTGGGTGGGGGGGTTGGACTAGATGACCTACAAGGTCCCTTCCAACTCTGATTATTTGTATCTGTATCTGTTTCTGTGTGAGCTACAGTGGCTTCTGGTTTCTTTCCTCGTGCAATTCAAAATGTTGGATATCCCCTTTAGAGCCCTAAATTGAATGAGACCAGGCTACCTGTATGATTGCCTCTCCCTGAGGGTATCTGCCCATCCTACTAGGTCAAATAGGGTGGTTGCACTCCAGGCCCCTTCCTTTAAATGTTATTATGTAGTGAGAGTCTTCTCTGTAAACGTCCCTGCACTTGTGATCCATCCTTTCTCCAGACTTCTGGTAGACTCATCCTCCTTGCTTTCGGAAAGGTCTTCAGGAGCTGTCTCTTCTTGCAAGCATCAGGGTAAGAAAAGGCAAAAGCCCACCAAGACGGTGTGTAGATGTATGGGAGAATGCTGCCCCAGGGTGCAATAATTTCACTTTATAATTTGGGGGCTACTGATGTCTTTACTGTTTTGTTAAGGTTTACTGTTAAGAACTGTGGTGGCTCAGTGGTTAGAATGCAGCATTGCAGGCTGCTTCTGCTTCTGCTGATTGCTGGCTGCCAGCAGTTTGGCAGTTCGAGTCTCACCGGCAAAAGGTTGACTCAGCCTTCCATCCTTCCTGGGTCAGTAAAATGAGGAGCAAGATTGTTGGGGGAAATATGCTGACTCTGTAAACTACTTAGAGAGGGCTGTAAAGCACTGTAAAGTGGTATATAAGTCTAACTGCTATTGCTATTGTACACAGCCTGGAATTGTCACTATAATATAAGCAGATATAGCAATAACACTTATACTTATATACCACTTCACAGTGCTTTACAGTCCTCTCTAAGCGGTTTACAGAGTCAACATATTGCCCCCAACAAACTGGGTCCTCATTTTACCAATCTCGGAAGGATGGAAGGCTGAGTCAACTATGAGCCAATGAGATATATAGGTCTTTTGAAATAAATAAAGACTAAAGAAATGAATAAATAAAACTAGATTGGGAAGCTGGGAAAAAACACTTCAGAGGAAGGGAATGGCATTATTGTCATAAAATTACACAAAGATGTCCATGTTGTCACCAAGAATTGAGCTGAACTCAAGAAAGACTATTCCTATGTACAAAACAAGCAAACAGAAAGAAATGGAAGAGGAGGACAATGATGATTTTAACAGATGGGAATATATTAAAAATTGAAAAATAATCCAATGAATCACTGCAGTCTAGATGTCTTGGCAGGGAGGGAAGCAGGTCAGAATTTAACCAGGTCTCCAAAGATGAACAAGAGCTTGAAAGATAGAGAGATCTTGCTTCACTTACTCTGACAAAACTGGCTGGAAGCCAAGCTTCCTTGTCTTCATTTCTTCCCCACCACCAATCTTTGTTGGAAGCTTCAAGGACTTGGATGACTTCTCCAGCTTTGAAGGATAATTCCTGATCATCCATGGTCACGTGATCCCAGAGAGCCTCTGCATAGACCACATTTCCATCACTTATCAGCTGCAATAAAAAAAAAAAACATTTTGTTAAAAGACAAAGATCTTGCTGTGCACCAGGGGTGTCAAACTTGCGGCCCACCGGCCAAATACATCACATGCTGGCCACGCCCACCTCTGGTTTAGTGAAGGGGGGAAAAGTTGCGATATGTCACATGACGACAATGTGCCGTCACAAGTTTGACACCCCTGCTATAGACAAAGGGTAAGGATCTGGAGTCACTGCAGAGGACAACAATGTGGAACTTTTAACGTGTTTTTGGTTGAAGTGCCTGGAAATTCCAAAGCTAGAAATTTACCTCACTGACAGCTAGCTGCTCGCCTCCAGGCTGCAAGTACCTGGGGTTGGCATGGCAGTATTCTTCGTAGCTGTAATCCTCTTCACTGCCATCATCATCGACTAAAGCTGGAGATTCAGCACTCCCATCTGTAACACCTGGTGGGAAAGGGAAATTCTGAGAAATTAGGTATTGTCAAACCGAATTGTCCATTGCATTACAGATAGTCCGACTATCACCAAGCCCAGAAATTTGCTAAGTGAGTTTTTCCCCATTTTACAGCCTTTCCTGCCACAGTTGTTAAGCGAATCACTGCAGTTGTTAAATTAGGAGCATGGTTGTTAAGTGAATCGGGTTCCCCATTGACTTTGCTTGTCAGAAGGTCGCAAAAGGGGATCCTGGGACACTGCGACCATTGTTAATATGAATCAGTTCTCAAGGGTCCAAATGTAAATAACATGACCATGGGGATGCTGCGACAGTCATAAATGTGGAAAATGGTCCTAAGCAGTGGTGGCATTCTACCGGTTCAGCCCGGTTCTGGCGTACCGGCAGCGGCGAAGATCAGCTGGCAGAGAACCGCTTCGCTCCGAGTCTCCGCGACGTTATGCAATTGGACCCACCCGCCCGTCCCTGCTCCTAGGCCCTTTTTAACCTCTCAGCTGTTTGTCGCGGCAGAGCGGATTGCTGTGCTAAACAGAGCTGAGAGGGGCAGTAGCTTAGTTTTTACTGTTTTAACGCATACACAAAGCCTGCGTTTGACACGCACGAGTCATGCGATCCCACCCCTGCAGCCACGCCCACAGAACCGGTAGTGGGAACTTCTGAATCCCACCACTGGTCCTAAGTCACTTTTTTCAGTGCTGTTGTAACTTCGAATGGTCACTAAATGAACTGTTGTAAGTTGAGGACTACCTGTATTTGTTTTACAAAATGCTTTCTTAAAATGGCACCAGACTCCTATTTTTTTTTTAAATTTCTCATAACCACTTCATGAGCAGTAAAACATACCAGCGTACCAGAACAGAAAAAAGGTACAAAAACATATTTAAGGTAAAGAAAAGAACTGAATGCATACAGGTAGTCCTCTACTTCCAACTTTCATTTAGTGACTGTTTGAAGTTACTACAACACTCAAAAAGTAACTTTACAACTGGTAGCTGTTTACAAACATCATTTACAACTGTCATATCATTCCCACAGCCATATGATCAAAGTTCAGATGCTTGGAAAGCGCATGAAACCAGACAATGCACCATTGGTCTGAAATGGTATAGGATTCCCTATCTGAGCAGACTAAGCACTTCCAAGGTTTCTTCCAACTCTTGTTATTCTGTTAATTAGGTATAATGAAAAAAATCTCCTTTTTTGAACATCTCCTGCCCAATTAATTAACCATATCCTCCTTCCTAATTTAATGCGTTATGTTATTACATAGAAGAATGTTGTTACGGGATATGTTTGCCAGATTCTATCAACACAGTTGATTAGATGTTTTCTCATAATGTATGATGAGAGTCCCCCCCCTTATTTATTTTTATCCTTCCTTTATTATTCTATAAATAATACACGGTAGTGATTATATTTCATATTCCTTCTTCCTCCTGTTTTCTCCACTCTGTGAAATGAGTTGGGCTCAGAGTGTCAAAGCCATCCAGCTGGCTTTCATGTCTAAAGTGGGACTAGAACTCCCAGTCTCCTGGTTTCCAGGCCGGCATCTTGACCATTGCACCAAATTGGCTCTCATTTTTTGAAACAAAGTCTGAGAACCAATGCGCAGCAAGGTGTAAATATATTAATTACCATATTTTTTACTCCAAAGGTGGGTGGAAATGTCTGTGCTGGTCCTTTGGTGAATAGCAGCCGGCTGCCGCGGTAGGGTCCTTTTACAGTGCTGAACCCCGCCACTTCTGTCTTTGTCATTGCCTGCCTTCTTTGTCTCTTTTTCGCAGTGCAGGAGTCAATAGGCAATGCTGGCATATAAGAGGACACCTATCTATGGTCCTCTCAGGCGCCGCCTGATATTTTTTTCCCTTGTTTTCCTCCTCTAATCCTAGGTGTGTCTTATGGTGAGGTGAGCCTTATAGTGCAAAAAATATGATAGTTAAATAGTAACATTATATATTCTCCCAAACTGTCTGCCTGCGCATGCCTTACAGAAGATAGAAAAGCCAGTGGCCCTCAATTGCTAACATCCTTCCCTACTGACCATGGGAGATCTGCGAATAGAATAGTTCAGGAGAGCGAAACTACTACAGATTTTTTCAAAGTTTGGAGAGCGGTTGTGAAAGAGAACCTTTTCAGTGATGGCCCCATAAGCTAGAGAAAAAGGCACTCATCACATTGCTATCTTTCAATATAGGATGATTTTTTTGTTCTTCCAAAAATTTTAATACTTTACTTTGGGCGTGCCAAAAAAAGGTATCTCAGAAACAGTGCAAGTAAATAATGATCCATCAAATTATATCCTTTCTACTTTTGCTACCACAAGTTCTAATCTTTTTAAGGAGCTGCATTTTGGGGAGTCTTAATATTTAAAACTGTACAAAATATTTAACTTACAGATATTTTAAAATAGACTACAGCTGTCCTCCTAAAAGCTTTAGATTAGCACCTAATCTAAGTTCTTTAACTTCTTTTATTTAGAATAAATCAAAACAGTAAATTAGACTAAATTATTTCATTAATCACAATCACAACAGAAATATTTCTAAAAACAGGAGGAACAGAGATTTAAAAAACCTGATGAAGTTACAGAAATGCAATACGTATTTGAAAGCCACCTTCATTAAGATCCATTATTGATTTCCAGCTTAATAATGATCTAGATTTAACTGTCTACTTTTTTGTGAGTTTTAAAACAGATACCCATTAAGAATATAACATAAATTTGAACTGATTCATCCACTGAAATTAGCCTTGAATCTGTATAGATGGCGTATTATTTCTTGTTCACTGTAACTCTCACTCTATTGTTTACTGCCTGAAGTAAACACAGACATGAATGGGCAATTTTTATCTCTCAAACAGGAATGTTAAAACTAAAATCAACAGTGAAGTCATTTTCATTTTTCAGTTTTGCTACTCTACTAGGTTTTCCAGTTAAAACATGATGTTGGATACCCAAGTCTAGGCCTATGTTTAAATCCCAAATGCCACAAAGAACAAATGGAGCTCATCTCCTACATCAACATACTTATCTGAAGGCTTTCCAGGCTCCAAAACCGGGTCATATCCCCTCTGGCTACCATCCTGCTATCCAGAAAAAGATCATTCACCAAGCACCTGGTTTACATTCAAACCAAGAATCCTTTTTAATCCGTAAATGAAATTTATCATAGGTCACGGAAGCTGCAGCAATTGGAAATGCCGAAATAGCTTATTCATTGCTTGGAGCGTCATGGGGCTGCATTTCAGCCAAACTCTACTTTAAAATGACAGCTCACTCTCTGAATGTATAGCTGTGGGTTTAGTGCCTTCCGTGACATCATGGGAAATCTTTAGGAAGTTATGAAAGAAAGAAAAAAGAAGCTATACAGAGAAATCGTGCACATGCAGCATTCATCCATATTAATTCAAGTCTGGTCAATTATTTCCTTATTGCAACCAATAAGAAAATAATTTAATTTGCACTGATTTATTATTATTATTAATTATTATTATTATTATTATTATTATTATTATTATTATTATTATTATTATTATTATT